CATCTGGATGCATGGCGATTTGATGGTAGCCTCTGTAAGCATCAAGGAAGCTCATGCGCTGATGGCGCGCTGTCGCGTCGACAAGTTGGTCGATCTTGGGAAGAGGAAAACAGTCTTTGGGGCAAGCTTTGTTCAGATCCGTGAAGTCGACGCACACTCGCCAAGTCCCATTTTTCTTCTTCACCACCACTGTATTGGACAGCCACGTAGGGTAAGTAACTTCTCTAATTGCCCCGGCGTCGAGAAGTCTGTCAACCTCCTCAATAACGGCTGCAGTGTGCTCCGCAGCTAACCGCCGGCGTTTTTAAATGATTGGCTTGCATTTGGGGTCGACGTTCAGATGGTGCTGTGAAACTGATGGGTCTATTCCTGGCATTTCGTACGGAGTCCACGCAAAGACGTCGAGGTTATTGAGCAAGAAAGAGATCAACTGCTGCATGTTGGCCTGATTCAGAGAGGCGCCGATCATGAAGAACTTTTTTGGGCTTCCATCGATGTCGACTCGGTCTAAACCGTCCGTGGCCTTCTCATTTGGATGCCGCCCAACGTCATCGAGAATCTCCTGATTTGGCACCTCGATGGAATTTACTTGCAGTTCCTTTGGCGTGCTAGCCGCAAGGAGATAACATGCTTGAGCCGATTTCTGGGAGCCGTGGATTTGCTCAATGTCGTATTCCGTTGGGAAACGTAGTAGTTGATGATAGGTACTTGGGACGGCCTGCAAGGTATGCAACCATGATCGCCCCATGATGAGATTGTATAGCGATGGCAGCCTGACAACCAGGAATTCCACATTCACCGTTCGGGATCCCGCTCGAACAGGTAAGTTGATCTTTCCTAACGGGTATTCTGGATTGGCGTTGAAGCCAAATAGCGGATAAGGAGCAGGAGTCAGGTTTGACTCGGTGAATTCGAGTTTGATGAAGGTTTTATAATACATAACCTCCGAAATACTGCCCTGGTCGATAAGAACGCGTTCGATGGTGAACCGGTTTACACGTAGCTCAACAACCAACGGATCAGTGTGAGGGAGGGTTACGCCGATCAAATTAGAGTCGTCAAAGGTGATACTTAGCGTTTCTCGGAGCCGCTTCGCTGGCATGAGTTACTGTTGGGGGCCTGGATGCGATTGAATCGCATGCACGGCTGGGGCTGTTGGAAGGCTGTATATCACGTGGATAGTGTCAAGTGGCGATACATCCTTCGGAAAGGCAGGTGTTTTGGTTTCACTCCTCCGGACGCATTGTTGGAGACGTTAATCCCTTGCCAACTCCTCAAGATGAGCTGTTGAGGCGTAGTGGCCGTCAGTTACTTACTGTCGGGCTTGAGATCGTCGATCATCTACCCCCGGGGGTCGTACAGAGGCCTGGCGCACTGTTTGTTTGGATTTTGGTATTAATGAGGCCAGATCGCGACGAAGGCATCCGTTCTCAGCGATGATGTTGTTTAGCCTCTATTTGATCTGCCTAGCCGTGACATGATCGCTTGCATTGTCTCTTGCGCTGAAGTCGTTGGTGAGTCGAAGTTCAAGGCGCATCTTGCAGCGACGGTTTCCTTTTCGAGCATACTGAGCATACTTGCTGGAGTAAGGACATCTCGCGGTGTGATCTCGTCAGTGGCTATCGGAGGATCTTCCGTCACGTTTGCCATGGATGTATTTGAGTATTCCCATAGACGGCGCCAATTGGGGAGAAGTGGTTTGGAAATACTCTTTAAATCTTGAGAGACGCTAATGATCCTCAGCTAGTCACCTGAAAAGATACAAACACTCCGGTCGGGGGTGCCGGAATTAGCACTCCGACGGACAAATCAGTACAGATACTCAAGATAGCTTGTCTACTAAGTTCAGTGAAGTGATTCTTACATACCTTTCTAAATATTTGGTTCTTGTATTTATACTTGCTTTTTGGGCCTCGGGGCCAGAGTCTACTTTTATCCCATTTCCCTTCGTTTATTCGGCCTTACTAATGTATTTGGCCTCCTAGTCATGCAGGATGGAGCCGACTAATACCCAATTTCTAGGATACACACCCTCTGACTCTTCTAACAATTTGGCTCCCACAATATATATATACATATATATGTATGTATACAGAACAAGTATAGATTGTGGGAGAACAAAAAATAGACTGTAGGAGAGAGCTCGAGCGAGAGAGCGAGGGACAGACGCACAGACAGAGTGAGAAGCAGAGCACGAAAGAGAGAGAGAGAGAGAGCAAACCTGTGATGTGTTGCTGCGACGGTGGTGCTTTGCATCGGTGGCGGTGGCGGTGGCCGTCGCAATGTTGCCGGTACAGTAGGCTACGGTGAAGGAGGCCGATTTGTGTGAGATTTGGTGACGTGTGTGTTCGATACACTGTTGTGAAGTAGTATACAGTATACAGGCAGAGCAATGCACGCGCGCACCAATAAAAGAGGCGCGGGTTTTCTTATTTCAACCTTTTAGCGACTATGTAATGTTTTAGTCGGGAAAGGAATCCATAATGCCGACTATAATGTTTTGGTAGCGAAATAGAAGTCAATAGCGACTAAAATCTTGGACACTAAAAGTCATCTTTGGCAACTAAATCATATTTTAGTCGGGAAATAGCAGTATTAAAAATTAATTTAATTTTTTTCAGTGTAAAATGTACGAAAACGACGACTAACAAATTATTTAGTCGCGAAAAAGTTGAATTTTGCAGACTAAATCAAAATTTAGTCGCCAATTATAAATTTTTATCGACTAAAATAATTTAGTAGCTACATATTTGAACCAATGGCGACAAATTAATTTTAAGTCGTCGAATATTATACTTTTGGCGACTAAAAATGTTTTAGTCGCCAAAAGTGCATTTTTTGTAGTGAGAAAGGGTACACCAGTAAGCCCATACATTGTGGTAGAATTAGTTCAATTTGCGCACAACCAGAAAACTACTTTCTTGTCAGTTCAATTGTTCAAATGCTTGTAACAAAAAATTATCAAAGAAGAAGACAACCAAGGCCAGCTATTTTCCTATACTTAGTTGTACAGGAGAGTGTTGAAATTATAAAAACATTGGTCTAGTATCAGTTTCTTCTTTTTGTTCTTCTGCTAATCTTTATGCTTCTCAAATTTCTTTTGATAGGCATGAATTTCAATAACTTCTTCATCTTCTTAGTGTGCTTCTCTATTGCCAACTTGATCGAACTTTTACCTTCTTACAAGGGAATACAAAAATTCCTTTTCTAATACAAATGTCAATAACTGAGTAGTAACATTTAGAAAATTCTTTTGTTTTGAGATTATTGTTATTTTTTTTTCAGCATCGAAATTTGCCAATGTTGGTTTCTTGCTTTTCATTGGATAGCTTCTTTATTGATTTAAGGCTTTCCCAGTTTATAAATATAATGATGACAACTTAAATGATTTGCCAAATACTCTTTCTCTCAATTCATTAGCTAACTCTACAATAGTGCTTGATTCTTTCATCTTATTTTATTGTTTTTGGGTCGTTGCTCGCAACCATCTTAATTCCCCACAATTTTAAAACTCAAGATGCTACCTGTGATGTGATGTGATTTGTAATTGTTCTAATTCTAAACTTGCCTTTAATTTACCCATTCATTTGGAGGTGATCTAAGGAAAATTATTCAGTGCTTCTGGGGCAGGTATGTGTGGTGTTTCAATTTGATTTTTTTTTTTTTATAACTCAGGGTGTCCGGGCCAGCTTGCACGCACCTCGACTAATCCCTGGGGGACCAATCCCACCGTCCACTAGCAGATGGCTCATTTAAAGCCAAAGCAAAGCTTCGTATGGACTCAATTTGATTTTATTGGTTAAAATAGTAAAATCTATCACTTTGTTGTTGTTTTCTGGAGACAATAGGATAAATTACTTACATGATGAATGGTGTGGTGCATTTCTCCATCAAATGACTTCTTGTGATCTAAAGGTTTAGCTGATATAGAATAGGTGGTGGTGCTGGCATTGACTCAGACTTTGTTTGGATTTAGGATTGAGGAATTTGTGGAAGAAAGGAAAATGAAAGAAAAAAGTGAATAACATAGCAATTTTTTCCTTCCCTTTTCCTTTCCCTAAACCCTAAACTGAATTTGTCACTTTTCCCTTCCGTCCTTTTTTCCATCCACAAATTTCTCTCCAAATCATTGATCTACTTTCAAGGTGAAAATAAAAAAAAAATAAAAAAATTCTCAGTTATGAAGAGAAGGGCTTTGTGGTTGCTCTTACAACTAAAAAATAGGGGACAAAACATACTATGTAGAAATATTTCTTGATTTTTATATTAAATCATTTTCTTCTTCAAATCCATGTTGGAATCCACAAGCATGGTTTGAAAAGTTTGCTTGTTTTCAATCAAACAGAGTTGGGTTGATTGTTTTGTATCTTTCTTATCATATCACAGTAAGGAGCTTGTCTTGGTAGTTGAACTGAGATTCACTATTTCCATTTCATTTATTACTATGTTATTGAAAGGTGGGGTGCATGTTAGCAGAGGAATATTTTAATTATTAGAGGAAAGTTCATGTTCATTAGTGAAATAGTATGTGCCAGATATGGTTTTGTATTGACTCTGGCTTTGTCCCCCACATGCAAATCTATGTAGCCTAGTGGAGAATCACTTTTATGGGGTTTTTCCTTCAAATATTATTTGAAGCTTTTCTAATTGGTTGTCTCTGGCCAAAAAATCAGTGTAGAGCTTTTGGTTTTGTGCGCCTTGTGAGGTTGATAAGGATGTTTTGCTTAGTTGAGTGGTCTCCATCAATTGTTATTTTATTTTATTTATAAATTCCTAGCTCTATTTTCTTTTGGGGATGAGAAAAGAAATTTTAATTGCAAATCAGTGAGTGCAAATGAGACATGTACTTTGCTGCAACTAATTTAGAAATGATAGAAATTCTCTTTTTTTTTTTTCTAGATCCTCACAATCCTTCACATATATATGTCAGTGATTGATAAGAGGAAAAATAAATAAATAAATAAATAACTAAAAGTTAATCAATCCCAATACATTAGAAGTGATAGGGATCAAGAAAAAAAGGAATCTCAACCTTTTTCCCAACTAATTTGCATTACGTTGGGGCATAGTTCTCATTTGTACTTCACTAATTTACAACTACTTTCTTAATTTCTTACAAGCCTCAAATCTCAAAACTAGGGCAAGTGACAAGTTGCTTGTTAGAAAATGAAAAAGAACAGGGACATTTTCTAAAACAAAAATTACCCAGGATGATGAGAACATGGAAAAGAAAAAAGAAAATAGAATTGAAAGAGAAGCACAGAAAGAAAAAAGCGAGAGGCATTCTATACTGTGTACTAATTTGTACTAATTTCTTTAGACTATGTTTGAATCTTGGATTTGTGGAAAAAAATAAAGAGGAAAAAAAAAAAAAACATCAAGTATTTCTTCTCTTTTTTTGTTTTTTCCTTTCTAAGTCCACAAATCTAAGATCCAAACGTAATCTTAGGGACATCTGATATTCCTACCGGGGCCTCCAAAATAGAAGTAATCTCCCCAAAGTGTGTTTGTACCAGCTCTAATATCATAACAGGTAGGATGATCAGCAAGAAAATGAAGGTTTGATAGAGGAATGAGGTTATTATCCCAATCAACTACTTGCAAGTTCCTGAAGTAAGATGCTTTCCCAAATCCTTCATCAGCAAAATGACCACTCCCCATTTGTGTTGATGTGTGACTTCTACTACCTCCTCCCAATGAAGATCTGGTGTTCACTATTTCTCCTCCAAACTGTACCATGCTCGCATGGCTTCTCAAGTGACTGAACAAGAATGATGGCCAGTACCCAACTAGTAGACCTGGCCCGAATTGGAGCCACCAATGTCCATGCTTTGGATCCTACACATTGCAAAAAGGATATGTAAGTAACTATACATGTTTCCTATTGTTTTCGTTTTTTTGTTTTTTGTTCTTGAAAATAGAAAAAACAAACCTGAAACGGATTTTTTTTTTGGACATTATTTTCGATAAATATTTTTGGTTTTTTTTTTTTTTTTTTTTTTTTTTTTTCTTTGAGAGATTTGGTCAAAATCTCTTCATAATAAAACTTTAATGTATTAAGGACAAGTATATAAAAAAAAAAAAATTGAAAAGTCCAACACATACAATTATTATCAAAATATTAAATTTTAAAATAATATAACTTTTGCTGTAGATATCAGTTTTTAATAAAATTAGTATTTTTATAATTCTCTCATCAAGATTTATCAAATAAGATCCATTTGACTATGAAATTCTTAAAAAAAAAAAATTATTACTGTCGTAATTGAAATAAATAATAACATGTTATTCGGTTTGACAATAATATGTTATTCTGGCAATATTATCAAAGAAAAAAAAAGATATTTTATTTTGTCTTTATTCAATTATGTGTTTTCTCCTTTGGGGGTTTGTAAAGTAAAATAAATTGGGTTGTCATTTTCACCAAACAATGATTCAATGGAGGGGTTTTAGTTAAATTTCCTTCTTTTTTTTAAAAAAAAAAATATAACATTTCCTAAAAAGTATTTTTACTTAGTTTTTGAGTTTTGAAAAATTAAAAAATCAAAAATGAAAATGATATCTTTGTATTTTATTATAATCTTGTTTTAGTTATTAGCACTTAATAAAAGTGTCTTGATGAAATGACGATAATAGTAGAAAATAGGGATCACAAAAGAAAAGGGAGTTTCAAATATTCTTTTTAAATTTTTTTCTACACCCATCACATCACAAGACTAAGTAAATATTATTGTATTTATAAAGACACTCCTATATCTTAAAAACAAAGTGGGTGTATGGAGAAAAATTCAGTGTATTTAGAAGCATTAAAGATAAAATGCAATTTAATTGAGGTGCTTTTATCCTTCCTCCCTTGGAGTCCACTAGGGTGTAAAAACAATAAAAAAATAAACAAAAGGAAAAAGAGAGAAGTGGATGGGTCAAGAGACCGAAAGAAGAGACCCTTGTGATATTACCTGGATGATAATGGAAAAGCAAAAGTAAAAGCAAAGGCAAATGTGAAGTAAAGGAAAAAAGCTGAGGTTATGAGCAAACAAGTGGACCTATCTCAATGTTTAAACTTAGGGTAGCGCTAAAAGCATGGTTGGGTATTCTATCTTTCTATTTTTGTTAACACCATTTTACCTCTAGAGCAAATGACCAAAATGGCCAAAAACTCTAGCCAACCACCTAGCTACAACCAATCCTCCAGCCCTAACCATTTTTTCAAGCTTCGACAATACCTTTTCAACCTCTTCTGCTACGCCCCAGCAATTCCTTATCTTTTCGGTGCTATCTCATATTCTTTCTTCACCACCCCTCAGCCTTTCCCAACATTTGTCATTGCCACTACTGTTGTCATCACTAGTAGTCGTCCACTCACAGCAACTTGCAAGTCCCTCATTTTTTTGCTTTTGCTCATTCTCCTCCTCCTCCTTATTCTTTTTTCCTAACTAGGGTTTAGATTCGTGATGGGGTTTAGCAATGGGAGATAGGTTGCAGCAGAGAAAGGAAGTCATGGTGAAAAAAGGGGCCTAGGCTAGGGTTTATTGTAGGAGGAATTTCAATGTAAAGAAGAAAAAGATAGAATAAGGCTCGCTGTAGAAAAGAAAGGCCGGGAGGAAAGGTTCACAGTAGTGATGAGGTAACAGAGTGGTGGTTGTGGGGATGCGAGGGGGTTTAGAGCGTAGGGGAAGGTCGAAGGGAAGTGGTTGAAGGTAGAGAAGAGGTGGGTAGTAGCTGAGTGAAGCTTGGGGAGGGGGGGTTTGTAGGGTAGGAGTAAAGGATGGCAGTCGGATGTGGGGATGGGCTGGGTGCTGGTAGCGGATTTAGCAGAGGTAGCACTGACAAAGAGAGGCGTCAAAAAGTGGTTGGGGTGAGTAGAGGCATAGCGGTATTATTTGGGGTGTTCAAATAAATATAAAAATAAAATAATTCAAATGTATGCATGGGTGACCTAAGAAGTGGGATGCCCAACCAAAACAGTGGAGTGCATTTTAGAAGCACCCTTTATTTACCTCACAAAACCATTTCCTTATACATCCTATTTTCATTTTTTATTACTCTTTTGTCCCTATATAAAATTAATCAAAAATCGTAATTTCTCTATCCACCCATCCCTTTCCCACCAACTACCACTCACTACCGCCAATGCTACTCTCTCGTCCTCCTCATTTGCTCCTTTCCAGTCCTTTCTCCCCTTCTTGGCTACCCCTATTCCTCTTTCTGACCTCCACTCTTCCCTGTCACCCATATCTCTTCTATTTTCTTATAGCGGGAAACCCTAGATCTCTGTAGCACATGGTAAGGGAAGTGCTATGGTGATGGGGGGGCTAGGGGAGTTGCATTCATAAGGGAGGACTGGCATGTGCAAAGTTAAAGGTTTAATATGTTAAAGGGTGTAAATAAAAATTAAAAAAAAAAGAAAAAAGAAAAAAAGAAAGAGACTAGGAATGATGATATATTTAGAATTATGAAGAGTATAGTGAAAAAAATAAAAAAAAATTAAATTTTAGAAGTGCAATTAAAAAATGAATGAAGTGAAATGTTGCTATTGTGTAATAAAAGCTCCCTATGTATCAACTAAGAAGAAGTCTATCTTTCTTGTGACACTATTATAAGCTCTTCATTTTTACTGGTTCATCTCCTCAATAAGGTGTTAAAAAAATCAAATTATTCGAACTCAACTTTTGTTCGACTTGTTAAAAATTCATTTGAGATCGTGGAAACATATTTTTAGGGTTGTCCATGTGGCTGAGGTGGTTGTCAAGGTGCCATGTGGATGAGCCGAGATGCTGAGATATGGTACGACCATATTGGAATCCGAGACTGTGGGATAGAATACAAAAGTCCTAGGTAAGTTGAGGTGCTCTGTTTGGATAAAGATGATGCTCTTAAGTGCGATCATTGTTATCTAGCTGAGAGTTTGGGATAAGTGTTAAGTTTGAGTCCTATGAAGTGATACTTCTACGGGACGAGGGCACCGTTGACTATAAAAGCAAGGCACCCTCGTGGTCTAACATATCTTTTACTTTGTGAATATTGTGATTGAGTTGTGATCTTTGAGAGATAAGTTGATTGAATTGATCGTCAGAGTGCCCCCGAGTGGATGAGCCACCATGGTTTTTCTTATCTTCTTGTGTGTTGGTGTTTGGATTAATCTATATCGTCGTGTGCTCTCTAGCTAAGTTCCATTGGTTTCAGCAGAGAGATCTATTTGGTTGTGAGGTCAAAAATCAACACCTACAATTTGGCGTCGTCTGTGGGAACTTAGTAAGAATAGATGGCCAACGCTAGACAAGAAATGAGAGTCGGGGACGACATGCATAATGTGGATGAGGAGTACCTCGATCTAAATGTCGGAGGAGAACACAATAATGAACTACAAGAGGTGGATCCAGAAACGAAAAATGCAGCCAAGGGCCGTAACGGCTCGAGGAGGGGCGACTGAGAGGAGTACTATAGTGAGAGTGATCTCCAAGTCTAGAAGGACCGATACCTACGGAGGGATGATGAAGTGAAAGACTTGGCAAACAAACTGATAAACCTACAAACTGTGGTGAACTTTATGATGCAAAGCAAGGTGATGATGTCGGCGTTGCCATTACTGGCCACACCAACATCTGCTGTAAATGTCAGCGAGGCAGATAGTGGTGCCAATGTCCCTCACCACAGAAAGAGAAATGTGAATTCAAATCGGCGATCACAAAACACCAGACGAACAGAATCACGAAGAGTAGATTCTTAGAGAACGAGAGGGACACAGATTAGAGAATCTTGGAAAATTAATGAACAGGGCCCTTGCCTCAACAAGACACTTCGCGCTGAAAAGTCCAAGAGGTCACATCTTAGTATGGGAAGCAGTACACCGAAGAGGTTAAAGATGGTCGATAGCCGAGCTCGGACGAACGAATGAGGACTTGCGTAATTATCTCCAAAAGAAGAGAAATGGTGTTGAGGTTATGTCTACAGCGCAGCCGAGGTCACTGTTCTTGCTAGAACTGGACGTGTTTGAAGCACCCAAGAGATTCACCATGCTGAGGTTCTAGATATACAATGGTAAGTCTGATCCTAACTTCCATGTTGGTTTATACTTGAACGCAATGTCCTTGTGGAGTGAGAATGAACAGTTATTATGTAAGGTGTTCTCATCAATGTTTGGGGAAATAGTATTAGATTGGCTCCTCATGTTGTCATAGGGATCAGTCAAGAGTTGGGAAGGCCTATCTGAGATAATTGTGGCTAGATTTATTACAAACAGATTGGAGCCTTTGAGGGTTAATTCTCTATTAGCATTAATGATTGATGATGGCGAAAGCCTTAGGGCTTACGCTAAGAGATATTATGAGATTTACAACCGGATTCCGGCATTTAACCAGGAGCTATTAGTCGTTTCTTTTAAGAACGACTTAGAGGATGACTGCCCACTTCGGCAATCTCTTGCAAAGACCCTCCTGAAAAGTATAGAGGATATAATAGCAATGATTGAAAAGTACACAGGGGCAGAGGAGGGCAAGAAATCGAAGAAATGAGGCATGGTTAAGTAGGAGAAGCGGAACAACTCACCAAAACGTAGCCGAGGAGGCAAAGTTGATAGGCCGGAGCCGGGGTTGAAGGCCATGCAGGCCATGAGCACAGTCTTTAAGATCCCGAACTACAAGATTTTGGAAAGAATCCGAAATCAACCTTACTTTAGGTCCCCGCAGAAAATCCCAAGGAAGTCTATAGGCAGATTTCCTGCGAGGATTTTTCCGGACCACGATGAGCCCAAGCACATGACGCAAGGATGTCGGGCTTTGAAGTAGCATCTGGAGGACCTTGTCAGACAAGGACACCTAAGGGATCTAATAGATGAAGAG